GACAGTGGCCACCTAGAATAGGTCCCTATCCCACAAAACGGGTAACTTAAAACTTGATCTGAACAGAAAAACCACGTCTTTCAGTTTGCTGTTGATTGATACTAAGAAAATTTCATGTACTATTTATATAACATTATTGTTGCATAATTTTACTCCATGCAAGACCGTCTATTTGCATAAAAGAAAAACTCCCATCAGATAAAGAGTTTAAGGTCTTGCTTTCCAGAGAAATGATTTTAAATTGTCTTTAAAATACAACATAAAACAAAACAAAAACCTCGTTTTACTAGCACAGTGCAAATCATTTTTGTTAATATGCACTGACTTTTTCCCCTGATGACTTGTCCTTACATTTTAAAAGACTCTTACTATCATGTATGCATGCACTCTGCACTAAAGTGGTGAACTGTTTTTAAGTACAGATCTTTGTTTGCTGATTATTTTGCTGCAGCATAAAAATCTAAGATTTTGGATTAAAAAACTCCATAAGGTGGAAAAGGAGGAAGATGCTTTGGAATAATGTTAATTGAGTTTTAGAAGCATTTCAAATCTTTAGGAGACTTTATGTAACAGTTAAAATAGGGGTTCTGGTTCAAATATGATTTCAATATAAAGCTTACATAGAGTTCTCTGTTCTAAAACAGTCCTGTGATGCTCGGCCATTATGTGGGTTTAAAGCCATAAATAAAGGCCAAAGTCATGCCACAGAATCTATCTACATTAGCCAACTTTTATTCGAAAAGTACTCCAAATGAGACAAAGATTCTTCCTGAGACTGAGACAATATACTTAGCTTAAAAAGGTGAAGAAGGTAATAAGTCGTCCCGTCTCAAAAGCCTGTTTTCCTCTAATTATCACAAGTCCACCTGAGGAGGCCTAATCTGAAGGATCCAGTGAGGTAGCCACCTGGCTATTCCCACAGTCAGGGGATCAGGTTAAAGAACAGGTTTACTTTCAGATGGGAGAGTATTTAGATATTTTCAAAGGTGATCTGAGAAATTAAGGATCACAACTGAAGCTGGAAAACTTGAAATTCGAAAGTAAACAGACATCGATCAAGCAGGTACATCAGTGGATGACTAGACTAATTTTTAACATAATAAGCAACGAAGTTAGAGAATTCACATTCACATGTGCTTTTTATCACGTACACTTGCACATCTAAGTTTGGCACAATGTGAGCCCAAGGTGTAGGTTAGCATAGCATATAATCACATCATTTCACCAATTGAACCAGATATCTCTTTTAAAAATATCACATTTTAATATAAAAAGCTATACTATAAATTACTACATAGTAAATTCAATACTCTGAAAAAATACCACCCTGGAAAACCGCATCAGATTTTCAAGTTTGCATTAGATAAAGGTCACAGCAAACTCGCTGTAAAATGGTCGTCACAACCTGGAACGCTGTGCATGCTGCATCTGAGCAGGTGCTTTAGCGCCTTCAGAAGTCAATTCTTCTAGACTGGTTCACTGAGGTTCATAAATACATTGTTTTGTTTTTTGTTTATAGTTCCAAGTCAACTTATTTTCCTGATTATTGATGAGATAGATCAATGCTGAGTTAAAAAGAAACTTTGCTAAGAAAAGAGATCTAGTAAAGGCACTAATATTTTTCCATAACTCAAACTCCTTACACTTCCATAACTCAAACTCCTCAAACAACTTACACTTCTGGGGGGAAAAAAAATAAAAAACAAAAACAAAGTGGCCATTTCAGTTACTTAAACCTTGTTTCCCCTTTTGGTCTAAAGCTCATATGGTGTTCTGTGAGAAATTCTCCTCCTTTCAATATATAAAAATCGTTTTCATCCTGTAATACAGGTCACCTGCACAAAAGTATAGTCCTTGTATAGGGCTATTAACTGAAAGAATTCTAGTAAAAAGACAATGTCAAGAATAAAAGACATCCTCAACTTGAAAGTTCTAAAGTTAGGGAAGTTAAATGGACATTTATGCTGTCATCCGGGTTTTGCCATTCTCCTAAATACTTTCTTTGTAGTTAATACATATCTATATAATGTGATATTGAATAAAATCAACATAGGGTATATCAATAAACAGAACAGAAGAGACCTGGCACAAGTTCTTTGAATAATGTCCTTAAATAAACCATCCTGTCTTAAAAATATTAGTAATTTTTTCCTCACCTGGAAATTTTCAAACAAGATCTTGGAATCCAAAAATTAAGAACTACCTTATGTTTATAGATTTACAGTCATCTTTCTATTTTCTTATCTGGAACAAACTCTAAACGAAAGCAACCTAATGTACTGTACCAGAAAAGGATGATAAATGGAAGGGGAAATGAAAAAAACTAGTCCACAATTCTTCCATGAGAGAAAAAAAGTTAAGTTCTATGTAACAAGTAAATCTAAACTGAATTTTTAGTGGGAACTCTAACGAAAAATTTTAACTGTATTATTTACTATGAAAAAATGGATCCGTTTTTAAAAATTAGCATGTTGGTGTACAATTCAAGTCACCGTTAACTAGCCGAAAAGTGTTTAAGCCGTGCAGTCGCGTCCTACTGGATAGTTGTAAGCATCTCTTTAGGCACTTCACTGGTTCATTAACACAATACAAATTAAAGCTATAAACACATGATGTTGTGCTCTGTGAAGATAGTCTAATCAAGCAACACAAACCAATGCAAAAATGTGACTTTTTGGATGCTTCTATTCTTCCCCTAAGACTTGATATCTTTTTTTTTTTTTTTTAACCAGTTGTCCAAAGAGATTTTTCTGGGGAAGGGGATGCTTTGGCATTATGAAAGGAACATTGTTCAACCCCAGTAAGGCGAAAGCCTTGTGCAATAAAGAAATCTGAACTAAATTTCTTTATGGCTCTGTTTTAAAGGACACTTCTGCAGTGACATAATAGGGGGAAAGTTTAGTTGAGTATTTTTTTTTAAACGTATTGCACTCTCTCTTTTGTTGTTGTTGTTCAATCACATTAATGCATAGAAACACAATTTTTACCTTTCAGTAATAAACTGTTTAACCTATTATAAGAAAAATCATGGGAAAAAAGTTCTAAAGCCTAACAGGAAAAAATATAGGTATATTAACCTTCCTCTGCTTACTGCCATATAGAAAACACTATGAGAAAAGAAAAACGTGCAAAGAAAATTTTTGGTCAGTCTTGTGTGGGTACAGGTTTGTATGTGCCAACTAAATGAACTGTAAGCAGCACTGTGAGCACTGATTACTTAAGATGACTGAGGATTACTGTCAGTGATAGAAAGGATTGTGCATAATTCCACTTTTAATATATACATCTGATATGGAAAACTGAAACTTCAGTTTCAGAAGAGAAGAAAATAGCTGAATTTGGCATTTCAGTAGCATGCTATAGAATTCATCATGATTAATTTCACATTAAATTATGGACAATGGCTGTATCACATTTCACGTTATCGCCAATAGCAGTAAAAAAAAAAACCCCAAAAAACCAAAAAAACAAAAACAAACAATCAAAAAACCAAACAGTGCCTGACAAACAATCTCCTGGGGACACAGGTACGTGTCCTGTGAGCAGCTTGGTTCAACAGCGCATGCTTTTCCTTTACCAGATTTAGGACACAACATGAGAAGATTAGAATGACCAGAGGAGGTCATTCTCTGCTGAATTCCAATATCTGAAAAAAATTGCTGGAGCAGATTGTAAGCACTTTCCTTACTGAACAAAAACAAAGGGGGGCGGGGCAGAAAAAAATACACATACACACAAACCCAAAAGCGCTGGAAGTTAAGCATTAACAAATCAGGTTCATGATTTATGATCAGTTTCCAAAAATCCAACTATGAACAATGCAAAGTAGTGCTCCTCAGTATTATTTTTGCAGTTGTTAGTAATGTTAAGCATCAAGAAAAAGAAAACACATCATTGCACATTACAGCCGCCCCAAAAAACGGCTAAACTTTGACACTATAGAATTGAATAATTTTTGATGCTACATCACAAACAGCTTCTGATTTGTATCTTATGTGAAAAGGTCTTTACACATATATGACATTTTCCCTGGATGATGCTTCAGGTCAAATGCCGAGTTATGGCACGAAGAGCATAAAGAAGTTCAGCTTGCATCCGTGCTTCCATTAGAAGTAAATTTACGTGAACCTAGAAATGAAAATGTTATCAATTTAATGACCGCTATAAACAACTGAAAAAAATGAAAAATTTTTTTATGCAGCAGACATTCACAGCAGTTTTTGTTCTGTGTATATACACGTGTACAAACACACATGCCCGGGCATATTTATGCATGGGCATAACGTAACACTCATAAGAAAACTGTGTTTATAAAATAAAGGCTCTTGTAAGCAGTAAAAATGACCCCTAAAGTCTTAACAATTCCAATAATTTTGTTAGAATACATGTTATGTAAAAGCCAATCAATCTATTGAGTTACAAAATAAAACTAATTTTTATAAATTACAATTTTCCTACAAATTATACTTTCTTCCAGTTGTAAAATTTTATATGGCTAAAAATCAGCCCCACATTTCTTACGCCTGTGCTTATTCTTTGGAAAGCTTTTAAAAACATTCCTTACTGTTTATTTGAAAGATGCTAAAGTAAAAATTTGAAGCTTACAGCAGTTTGTAATTAGTGTCTGGTACTCATTAGATACGTGTAGCTTCCTTAGAGTCTTTTAGATATAGCTAGAAATAAGCACCTAACTTTTTTGGGGGGATATTTCTCAGCTGATAGGTTCAAATGAATACTCATGTAATTTTCAAAATTTATTACAAAGAAATACGTTGTGATTTATATTTAAATGACTTTGGTAACTTTCTATAGGTTGGATATATTGTAGAATATATTTTCTTGATGAGTACAGAGAATTTTAGATATTCTAGCAAAAGAAGAAAGTCTACTGCAATCATATATATAGGGCATAAAGATCCATCAAGGAGAGATGCTGGAGATAAAATAGGTATTTATTTGTTGTGTGTTTGGCTCTAAGACTTCAAAAAAATCTTAGCTATTGAGGCTATAACATTCTCTTTTAGGTTACACAGTTATTTAGTGACTATTAGGACTCTAAAAAGATTTTCTTACTTTCAAACTTGGAAACTATGGTATAAATGTAAGATTCTTGAACTTATAAGTCAAATGACTTAGGATTTCTTGGGTGGTAAACACACAATGCAATATATATGTGATATGTTGTTGAACTGTACACTTGAAACTGATTCGATTTTATTAAGCAATGTCACCCCAATAATTTTAATAATAAAAAAAGGTCCTACGATTTTAGGCTAGTTCTTATATTATAAAATGTTAATAAAAATCCTTAACATTTATTGTCTTAAATGATGATTCCGCTGTATCTAAAGAAATATTCTTATGTAATAAGGTATTTGGCTCAAAAGTCCTGCATTATATTGTCAAAATACTAAATTACCAAATTGGAATGAGAAACTGTTATTCTGATAGGTTAACTCTAATGGCTACAGTTAAAGATCTCTAAATGGATATGCCTTCTGGGCCAAAATACAATTACACCTAAGACAATATCCCAGTAGGTTTGATTTTTATTAATTGTCAGAATGGTAGACAGTTCCCCAAACATACTTTAAAAATATCCATATTCAGAGAGAATTTTTCAAAGGCCAACACTAAACTTTTACTTTACACACCACACTGGACAAAACACACAAGTCAAATTTAGTTAATATTCAATAAACTTGAATTCAAAAACATTAAAAAAAAACCAGATGGCTAGGTGATGCCACTTCTAATTCTTTAATGATATAAATTTATTAACAGTTTCATGTATAATATTTATAATCGTTACTTCTTATATTGAACATCTATATGTCTATGGTATAATGTTTAGTCATGAAACATACCTTTTCCGAGTGTTTAAACTGACGCCAGTAACTATCATACATGCGCTTGGTAGTTCTCTCAGGATAGCAGGTCACCGTCTTAATGTAAACCTTCAGGCTTCGTTCAAGTAATTGGTTAACTTCTCCATAATCATAGTCATCATACCTATGAGCAATATGACACCAGCTTTATAACGACAAAATCAAAATTTCTGATCTCTAAAGTTGTACCAGAGACATTTATTGTTGAGTAATTAAATAACAAAAGTTCATTAATTAATTCCCCTAGCAAATATTTATGAGTGCCTATTATGTGCCATGTACTTTCCATGTAGTCTTCTAGGCGCTGGTGACACAATAATGAATAAAATAGACAAAAATCCCTGGTCTCACGGAATTTAAATTCTATTGGAGAAAAATAAAAATGGAAAAGATAACCATACTGACCACTGGAAGTAGCTATGGGGCGGTCACTGGCAACCTCGACAAGAACAGTTTTGTTAGAGTGGGAGGAGTAAAAGCCTGACACTGTAGTGGGTTCACAAGAGAATGAGAGATGAGAAAATAGTGACAGTAAATATACAAATTTTTTTCCCAAAAGACCTGCTGAGCTTAGGAGCAGAAAAATGAGGCAACAGCCACAGGGACAAAGCAGGATGAAGAAAGGATCTTTTTTATTTTTCATTTTTTTTAAAGATGAGAGAAATAACAGCATGTTTATATACTGATGGGAAAGATTCAATAAAGAGAGTAAAGGTGATTTTGCAGCAGGGAGAGGGAGATCACTAGAACAGGGATCTTTAGAAGAAGAAAGGAGACGGGACGGGACTTTGTGTCCAAGTGCATAGGAGCACAGTCAGCTCACCTATAATGGGAGAAGAGCCAGCAGAGTAAATGGGCACAGAGGCAGATAGGAGGGTAAATGGTAGTGGTGGGAGCTGGAGGAGTATCTTTTCGTTATTTTCAGTTAATTTTTAACCCAAAAATATAACAGTTAAAAAACAGTACCTCGAAGATTTTATGTAAGTTTTATTTAGCAGAATCCCACAGATAAATGTAATCACCATAACATATTATTTTTGTCCTGAATATAATAAATATTTATTGCAACTGCATTAAATATTATTGGTGTTTACTTTTCTTAATTAGGTAGGTATAATATCTGTTTTAATACATTGATGATTCTGTGATAACACTGTCTAGGACGGTAAATTGGTAAAAAACACAGTTATCTACCATCGTAATAGTGTCTTTTCGGTAGAATGTTTCATTATTAGTTGATTTTTCAGGAAATTTGTGTTTTTCTTAGCTAAAATTATAGAAACTACGTTATTTAACAAATCAAATTCTAATTCCATTCCACAAAGGCTTTCTGATACTATATCATAAACGATATAGTATAGTGTCAAATTCATAATTGGGAATTTTTTCTTTCTGCAAATTTACCTCCATAAAAGCCTTAATAAACCAGCTCAAAAAGGCACATTCTCCCCCAAAAGCTTTCCTAATTAGACCATTCAGCCTCATTCACTCATTTACTCACTGTCCTCTCAATGTTAATTTTTAAAATTAATTTATATTAATTTATATTGACTGATAGTTTCATCTCAGTGTTATTATGTGAACTTACGTAAGCTTTATGAGGGCAGAACCTATCCTACTTTTATTTATACCCTAATTACCATTCATAAACAAATAAACAAATAAATGACAAACTAAATGAGCCAGCAAGCCAGCATTTACTACAGTGATCTAAAGGGACATAATATATGGTTTTCAACTGCTTAATTCTCCTAGGAAGGATTCTTAAACTGAGTTTGATTTATCTTATCCCTAATAATTACTAATATTTTTCCCCCTCATTACTAAATAGTTACTACTGTATTTATATATAAATGTTAAGATCACAACAGCTAACCACAGAAAAGTGCTTTTCTATAAAATGGAATTAATTTTTTAAGTTCAACAGTCCACTTGTAATATTTTCTCCCCAGAACTGTGTAATCCTAAACAGGATAGGAGTAAGACTCATGTCAGAATTTTCACTTAGAAATGTGTGAAACTGTCTCCACACTAAACATACCTGATTCCAAACATACAGTGGACATAGTTAAATAAAGCTCTGCGCAGCGTGGTTGTATCGACATCCTCGTGGGTGGCCATAGTGTTATAGGTGAGACTGTAGACCATGCGAAACTTTTCATCAAGAAGATGTCCAATGTCAGAGTAAAGTCTATTCACCAGGGAGAACCCATGATTTTCCCAGGTATAATCCTAAAAGAATAAAATATATCCAATTACAAAATTTAAATAAACATTCTTCATTTAAATAAACTTCAGGTTTTATAAACATAACTATTTAGGCAAGTAAGGTATTTCAAATTTAATTCTAAGTTCATCGCTTTACTAAGAAAAGCCTTCACGTCAGTTTGTAGATTGAATGCCATATGATTTCCTCAGTGGAGTCCAGAGTTTGGCAAGTTGGTGATAGCTACTTCCTGTGGCCAAGTACTTTGCAAATGACACCCTTATCTCAAAGGACCCCAGAAGACCTTGGACTATTCCTATATAACCAGACCTACTCAGTGACACCGACAGTTAGCAGATCATTAGAAATAAGTGCAAAGGAGTCCACCTTAATTCAAAATGCCACTCTTCTTTGGAACCACATCATTCCTGTGGCTGTTTTTCTAGGGGTGGCCCTTAAGCCCATAACTCCTGGGTTATGATCTTATGACAAAAAGCCTTTTTACTATGAATGTGATACATCGCTTAATTTCCTCCCTCCTCCTCTCCAAAAGATGGTATGAACGTTATACAACTACCATGTAATAACGCAAATAACTGAATAAAGTAGTTTTCTTTTGCCTTCTTAGTGGGGACGATGTTGAAATAAAAATCCATCTACTCGGACATCAAACTAGACTATGGTGGAAACCAGATTAAATAAAAGGATTTACAGACTATCAAAATGGCCTATTAATTTCTTTAGAAGTCAATTTGTTTACATTACAACATTTCATAATTAAAATGACAGTATTTATTCTTTAGTTTCTCTGAAATAAAGACACCTCATACCTGAGCTCGGAATGTTGGCAAATGCTCTTCTCCTCTTCTGGCAAAGTCTTCATACCCAAAACCAGGGTCTTCGATGTAACGGGAGACGTCAGATGTTATAATCATGTCATCTTCAAAATCTACGGACAATAACAAAGAACCTAACGTTAAGGAAACTGCAAAGAGGACAATGAAACAACTTCATTTTCCTCCACTTTTTAGCTTTTCCATGGATTTCTAAAATGACAATATTGACTACATGGCTTAAATTCATAAAACATCTAGTGCTAAAGTTTGAAAATAATTTTATTACTAAATACTGGCAATATGAACATTTAACTAGTTCCTCAGACAAAAAACTGACCAAATTGAAATATCTAAATAGTAGCAGCAAAAGATCAGTACACTAGTTTTACTTATTTAGAAAAAAAAAGATAGTACAGGCCTTTGAGTGTCAAGTTTAAAATTTTGATCT